AATATCTGGAATTGTAGGTAGTGGAGTTGGACATTGGGTACAAGTTGTACAGCCTGTCGAATTACTGGAAGGATATAATGATGTGGCACTGCTGTCTCTGACAGTGGGGATGCAGGTATGCTCTGTGTGTGCGTGTGTTTGCTTTAATTTATTTTTCCTCTTAAATTATATTATATGGATGCATTTTCATCTTAAATTAAAAGGCGTGTGCTCTTTTAAATAAAATTCCCCCCTTGAGTTATATGGATTTACTGTTGTCTTCTAAATGAAGGGTATTACATCATCAATCAGAGAGAATGTTTCTAAACTTTCTATTCTGTTTTTCGTCAAATTGCCATTACTGGTCAATGGTCATAGAGCTTCACACTCACCAAAACAATTTCTTATTAATTTTTCAATTATCTTAGGCAGCTTCTTATTATAGCTTTTAGTTCTTTTCTTTCCACATTATATATGTTCTTTAAATTTTCACCTAATGTAGTAAATTGTCAGATGCCAGTTGCTAACCTGTTTCATGTTGCTTTCTTGTTGCAGAATTATGGTGCTTTCTTGGAGAAAGATGGAGGTGGTTTCAGAGGTCAGATCAAGCTTACGGGACTGAAAGAGGGGGACATAGATCTATCAAACTTGTCCTGGACCTACCAGGCATATTCTCCATCTTTCTATTTGATATGTATTTTGGTTGTCTGTGTTTATTGGCTTTTTTTTTTATGTGGTGAGATCCAGTTATAACTGCACGATGCAGTTGACATGGCTAAATGCATGCCAAATTTGATCTCCTGCTATGTTTATGGTCAACAAACTAGAATAATTTCTTGGTGAAATCTGTCTGGAAGTTTAGCTGTTCCCGAAACACGGTCATGATATAATGTCTCTTGTTTACTTGTTATGATTTTTCAGCAATTAGCATGAGATCAAAAGCAGGAGAGTTAGGAAAAAAAAAAAAGAAGAGAACTTTTCTTAGTTGTACCATCAATTATTATCTTCTGGATTTCATTATACTGGCATTGCAGGACAATCTCTTTTTTGTAATGCTTTCTTGTCACTACAACAATTTTAAAATCTCGTCTTCTCTCTTTCCAGGTTGGTCTAAAAGGTGAAATGCAGAAAATATACGCATTAGATGGACATGAGAAGGCAGCTTGGGCTGATTTGACAACTGATGGAATCAAAGACCCCTTAAGATGGTACAAGGTACTCACATGTAATTACATAAAAAACCTTAGAGAGTTTAATTATGAATTTTTGATTATCAAATTGAATTGGAACTCTAGTGGATCTTAGGTATTTTATCATGCACAACAGCGCAATGCACTAAATTTTTTAATGTCTTAAATAGAATTTTGGGCCAAGTGTCAACTCTGTCAAGGCTCAATTTTGATTCATGTGGATCCTAATTTCATTTATGTTAGAAGATAATTTCCGTCGATGCTTTATACAGTATATATTATTAATGCTAAATCATTATATTTAATCTGTGGCAGACTTATTTTGACGCATCATATGGGCTGGATCCAGTTGCACTTGATTTCAGAAGTATGGGTAAAGGCCAGGCTTGGGTTAATGGACATCATATAGGAAGATTTTGGACTTTGCCTTCTTCACAAGATGGATGTCAAAGTTATTGTGATTATCGTGGAAATTATGATTCAAGCAAGTGTGCGACAAACTGTGGGAATCCTACTCAAGTGAGGTATGCATCATGTACTTTGATACGTGGAACTCAATGGGGAGATTCCTATATAATTCTTACAGATTCCACGGTTGGTGCTAATGCATTTCCTGTTGAGGTGCAAATTTATTTTGGGGCAGGCATACTTGCTTTCACATTAATGTACTCTGGCATTTGGCTCTTATTGCAATATACTTTATATACTTGCTCATTTATGCTCCTGAAAATTTTATTCTTCTAGGTTGGGAACTTTATTCCAATTTTTTTCAAGATTTTAGGTTTGGAGGGAAAAGGTTCTGACCTACTGTAATTTGATATTGCAAAAGGAGCTCAAGAAAGATTGGCTGACTTAGTTGAAGCTCTAGGCAAAAAAGAAAAAAATAAAAAAAAAAGTTGCTTTTATTAGCTAGGCATTTTACCTTGCTTACTCATTGACACCCTAATATCATCACTACTTGCAATGCCATTTGCCATCTTGTTTAGTAGTTTGCACATAGTATCTAAGAATAAGTAATCAATGACATTGTTTGGGATGCTCACTAGGTTTATCTAGCTTATTAATCAAGTAGCCTCAATGTCTTAAGTTGAATATGGGCTCACTGATCCTCGACTTTACAAGGCAAAGTTTGAGCCTCATGAAAAAAAAAAAAAAAAAACCCTACTTTGGTTTACAAGTTTATTCATCAGGTTAAGATCTCTATAAAGAAAACCACATTTCATTTCAATGTCTTTCCATTGTTTCCACTTTTGACTAGCAGATTCTCCACCCACAGTCCCCCACCCTTCTGGGAGAAGTTACATCTTTACCTGTGTAAGGAGATTGAATCAATAGGTTTGATTGAATTTTCTGTGAAGGCTCACGGCACTAACAATCACGTAAAATAACTCTTGAGTTATTTTGCCAACTTTAGTGGACAGAAGGTGTGGCTTTGTAAACTTTTCGCAAATTATATGGACTGTAGTGGAAACTATATATAAATATGTGGTAGGATACTTCTCAATACTTGAGGTTACAGCTTTCCCTTCCTATTGTCCCCTTGGTAAGAATGACTAATCCCTCTTATGTGGTTTATCTTCCAAAGGACCTATGAAATTAGTCACCTTCTGTTCTAAAGTGTAATTTAAGGGTGTAAATTGGAGAGCTTGAAGCTTAAATGGATTTAGTATGCTCATCTGAAATAGTCTATCCCCATATATGGGATTAAGGCTGTGATTGTTGTTGCTATTGTATCTAAAATTGCCTATGCAAAGTTTGTGTTAATGCTTGCATACTAAGTTATACGAATTCTTCACTTGAATGACTTTTTACATATCTATATTCTTTTTTGAAGTGCTGAAGAATTTGAAGGACCTAATCTTGTGTGTAATCATTTCAGATACCATGTACCGCGTTCATGGCTGCAGGAATCTAATAATTTACTAGTTGTGTTTGAAGAGACTGGAGGAAACCCATTCGAGATCTCATTAACTTCACATTTTACACAAATCATTTGTGCTAGTATATCAGAATCCCACTATCCGCCACTTTCGAGATGGTTGACTCGTGGTTCTGTAGGCGGACAGATCTTGATCAATGACACAACACCTGAAATGCATCTACATTGTGAAGGAGAACATGTAATCTCTATAGTGTTTGCCAGCTATGGGACTCCAAAAGGTAGCTGTCAAAAATTTTCAAGAGGTAGTTGCCATGCACCAAGGTCTTCTGATGTGGTTTCTGGGGTAAGTGGACAAAACCATACACATAGCTCTGTAAATTTGAACTTAAAAATATCTTTTTAATTGGATCCATGTATCGAGTCTAAAGTTTCAGGAACTAGCATGAGTAGCATTCAGTCAATTAATTGATATAATCTAGAGTTCTAGACCAAATTAAGCTTGATATACACCCCAAAGTGCCCCTCCCACCTGATTGTCACTTATTTCCAATGCAGATTATATAATAGTCTGCCTTAGTGTTGTGATTACATCTTAGAAATTAAACCCTGCAAAAAGTTTCAAAATTTTAGATTCATCTTGGTTTTGCAGACTAATTCATACTAAGGCTAGTGCTAATGGTTTTATTGCCCATATCATTTTGTCAACAGCTTTGCCAAGGAAGACAGAGTTGCTCCATAAGAGTTACAAATTCTGAATTTGGTGATCCATGCAGAGGGGTTGCTAAAACCCTTGCCGTTGAGGCGAAATGCATACCACAGGATACAGGGTCCTCATCCATCTAGCCATATAGGTATTGTACTGCTTTTTTTTTCTTTTTTTTTAAAAAAAAAAATTATTTTGCCAGACGAACGTGCTACTGTTAAATTAATGACGAGAATGCTCTATTTAAATGTCTTTCCAGGTGCGATTCAATTCTATGGTCTAGATTTTGCTCCATATGTGCTCACTCAGCTCCAATTGGTTTACGTAAATTAGTTGTTTTATCTCGAGAATAATTGTTGTTGCATATGGGTCCTGTAAATGAAAAGGTTGTTAATCTGCAATTGCGTGGGACTTCATGTACATTTTTTACATCATGTACATAGTGTACAAGTATATGTATATTTCATATAAAGTAATACTTCTATTATCAAATTGTCATTACGATTTTTTTTACTGGTCAATTGGCTCTTCTTTTCATTACAAACCCTAATTTGAACATAAGAAAACTATTCCGTATGTCTTATTCATTAATTATTACTCTGTATTATATAATTTTTTTTAGGTGTTCATGGATCTTAACAAAAATAATTGCTAATTAATATGAATATTGGATATGATGAGTGATACATTTTTCAGACTAGGCATGGCATAGGAATTGGCTGAATTTAACAGAATTTTAAACAATGTATTATGTATAGTATCATTCACATCAGTATATGGTGGCCAAGGTTTTATCAGAACATAGCACCATTACTAATGAGAACATTCGGACTGTCGGAGAACTATAATTCTTGTAGAAACATGTTCTATTATTTTATTTCTTTTATTTTGTTGTTTGTTGCAATTGGTCACTTACTATCCGTCTTAGAAAAATAGACATGCTGAACTTTTTTTCATTATTTATATTTTCACTTTGACTATAGTTTTTTGCAAACAAAATAATACATAATTACTTGCTCCATATAAGTAATTTAGACGTAAATTAAATAATAACATAATTACTTGCAAACAAAATAATAACACAAATTAAATATCAACTAATTTAGACGTAGTATACCATCCTTAATTATTTGCTCCATATAAGTAAAATCATTCAATTCATACAAGATATACAATTCAAATAATGTACTCATAATACTTCTAGCAGGAACAGTACAATAACAACAATGTTGCTAATTTAATTCACCTAAACATTATTATTTTGTAAAAAAATACTCCACCAATAATCAAGTAACGGATCAGAAACGTTGGTTGTTGTTGAATTAGGAAACAGTTGAGTATCATCTTGACTCTTCGTTAATTCCTCTAATGAAACTCCATCTCGATCTTCATTAGTAGTTTGATGATCATCCAGTGACACTTGAAGGTAAGAGTCCCAATCAAAATTTAGATCATCTTCATACTTGATGTTCATTAATACATTTTGTATATCTCCATCATCGCCGCCTTTGTTGTCATATCCATTGTTAAGAGATGCGTTATTATTGATTATTATTGACGACTCCACACTTGTACTTTCATTGATATTGTTGTTGTCCATTTTTTGTGTAGGAGGGTTATTGTCCAATATTTTTCCACTTTCAAGATTTTTATTTTCATTGCAAATTCTCTTCCTTTGCTCTTCGCAATTGAAGCTTTCTTTCCTTTTCTTGTCCATCTCAATGAAGTTTTTCTCCACTTTCTTGTGAACATGGCAAAATACAATATTATCAACAACCTATCATTAAAAAAAAAAGTCAGTATTTGTAAATCAATATTATTATTAAGAGTTAGAAATAAATCAAATAATAATCACATAAAATCATTAAGAATTAATGCTTTAATTAAGATCTTTAATTTTCGAAGAAAAAAAAACTAGGGCTTGTTTTATTTATTTATTTATTAATTGAATGAAAAACTATTCATATTTCTCCTACAACTAATATTTTAGTTTTTTTAGTAAAATAACAAGAACACATTATTAATAACGTAAAATTAAAATAAAAAGTAAAATCACAAGATCACATCATTAATAACGTAACAATGTCAGGATCTAGGTTAGTTAACAAAAAAACCAATTCAGTTAACAAGGTGATAGATAATAGGTTAATATTATCTTGTTAATATTCTGTAAAGATATATCTTGTGTAATTAGGTTTCTCATATTAGGATTGTACATACTATATATATTTGATTAATGAGAATACTCTAACTAAGGAGAATTACACTATTCTATATCTTTCTTCTCTTTTCTCCAAAACCCTATTCATGTTTATGCATGGTTATACTACGATTATATATATATGCAACATCAAATATAACTATTTGGGTTTGTAAAAGATAGATAACAAAAATAAAATCAGTAAGCTAAGGTATAAAAACTTACATTAGGGTTGATATTATTGCCGTTGTTGTATGTGTTAACGTAGTAATCTTTATCCATCTTGTACTCATGCAAGATCCAAGAAACATTATTATCACATTCATCTTTTTTGGACTTCTTGAACTTAAATGACTTCTTCACACCAACTTTCACCATATTTCCTTGAACAACCATTTTACATTCTTCGTATCTATCTCCGTCCCAAGTCCCTCCACCGGCCACACGTTTAACTCTTTTGTTCGACTCACTTTGCTTTTTTAAAGTCGTAAAGAAGTAGAATTCGGTTTCATCACTAGTAGATTGATGATCAAATAGTTGTTGCGGTGACATCTCACCGTAAAGATCAATGTCTTTGACGTTAGTGTCATATGGAGAAGGCAAAACCGGTTGCCCTACGAGGAGTCTTTGAGGAAGAAAGTACGAGAATATTTCGGTAATGGAAGGTTGAAAGATGAAACCTACCATTAAACGATTTGAGAAAACACTATTTGGGTTTCTAAGAGCCATATGTAATATGATATTGAAGGAGCTAATAGGGTTTTTTTTTTCTTTTTAGACGAAGCTAATCAATACTTAGTAGCTAAATGTAGGTGACTAATTAATGATGAATTGAGATGTAAGAAATTTTTTCAATGTAATGACAAAGTATAAATAGACCAAAGGGGTTAATGACGGTGCAGTGTAATATCTCAAAATTTATCTTTTCATCCCTTTTAACTTTATCTTTTCAACAATTTTAATATAAATAGATAAGATAAATAATTGATCCTAATACATATATATTTACTACAAAGTTTACAAAAATAAATAGAAAAAAATCATTGTGAAAAATACATAGATTAACACCTATCTTAATATGGTAAGGTTTGTTAAATTGTTAGTACACAAGCTTTACAAAAAATCGGGTGTATATATCCATTGTAAAGTACCCTTCAATGACCATCCTTTCAAAAAAAAAGTACCCTTCAATGACCATAAGTTACTATAATAAATTACAGTGATGATTCCATAATAATGAAAGTTATCCTAATATAAAAGTTATTTAAGATTTATTGATAAAATTACTCTCTTTATATGAGTAAAATAATTTTAGGGTTACTTTAATTTAGATGACTTAATATGATTTTAATGAATATATTATATATACAATGTGATGATAAGTTTTATAATTAAAGACAAAAAAGTGTAGGATGTTATTCTGAGAACGCAAGTCTAGTTTGGCCTTCTATTACAGTTGGTATGCCAAAGAGTGAAAGAGAAAGACCAAGTTTGAACTTATTTGACAAAGAGAACTATATAAATAAAAGCAAATTACAACCTTAAAAAAAGGTTTGAACTTATTTGCTACTTTATGTATGCTGAATTTGGCTATCAATTATGAATCTGACATATATATTGTACAATAAACATATAAATCATATATTAGGTTGTTTCTAATCTAGTATGAAGTAGTAAAAGTTCTAACACAAATCTTTGCAAGAAAAATCGTCTCATGTTTCTCAGACACGAGCATGTTACTGCTCTCTGTATACACTGCTATACTATACATTTGAATGAAATCTACTACGTATATGAACTCAAAAGTTACAAGGTCGATCATCAAACAAATTTATTCTGCTTCTGTCATACTGCCATTTATTTTTGCTTGGTAATAATAAAGCGTTATAATTTGCTTTCTTTATAAAAATAATCAAGAGTAATAATCAATAATTCGGGGATTTGTTGGGGACTGATCTTGATGTTAGATTATAAATTATAACTGCAAAATCAGTAAAATCATCCATATATTTCCACAAACTCCCTGCACGACCATGTAACAAAACTAGCCTGTCAATACTTGCCCTTTCAAATTGACAATACATTTGGAGCTTGAATGCTAAGGCAAATACATAACATCAAGAACAAAACTTTTCAGCTCCCATCAAAGGAGCAAATCAATAAGATAGTAAAGGGATGGAAACTCCCTTATGGGGAATTTTTGTTAAAAAAAATGGGAAAAATTTTCTATCAATAGCCCATAATATTGAGCGTTTCTACTTTATGGTTCCATTCGAAATTGATGAAACCTTGCAGATACCAGCAGATGTAGTGAATGGCAAATCTTTGAACCGGGCCACCAAATTAGAGTCTGTGTTTAGGTCTACTTGCAGTGTCTCCCACACTTTCTTCTTTGGGTTCAAAACTTCATCTGGCTCACCATCAAAACCTGAAAACTTGACTCTCTCTCCAACAGATGCTTCTTTAGGTGGCTCAACTAATTCAACCTGAATTTAAAGGTGGACATATAGTTACATTACTATTAACAAAGAAAATAATGTTACTTGACACAAACTCAAGTTCATGGGTAAAATTTCAATATTTTGGCAACTGACCTTGGTGTGCTCGCTGTTGGAAGCCGCAAGGACCATAGCGTGAGACTTTATCCCCCTCATGGAAGCTGGCTTCAAGTTGCAAAGAACACAGACCTTCCGGTTCTGCCAACAAAGCGGACATCAGCAAGATCTCTAGTGTTTATGCAAAACATTAGAAAATCCAAACATGGCAAATGAAATATTGCAAACCTGCATTTCCTCAATAGGTATATACTTGACAAGACCACTGACAACAGTTCTTGGTGTTGCTTCACCAACATCAATCTCTTCCACGTAAAGAGAATCCGCATCAGGATGCTTCTGAACTTTTGTTATAAGGCCAACACGAATATCAAGTCTAGAGATCGTAATTTCTGCTTCAGGTGAAGACTTAGTTTTGGATCCAGCAGCAGGCTTTGCTGCCTTTTTCTTCTCACTTTTATCTGCACACAAGAATTCATATCTTCATATACAATAACAAAGCCACAAAGCAAAGTAAAGCGGTAAGACTCTCTGAATAAAACAGTAATATTCACGGAGCAGCTGCATCCATATTACGCTATGATCAGCACTGGACTCATCTACATAATAACAACCCTGGGATGAATGACCTACCAAATGTTGTAACATATAGCATATACTTTAATGAACCACCAACAAACAAAAACATATTTTCCACCAAGCCTTGATGTGCCTTAGGTCGGTGTCGGTTAAAGGAAGATAATAAACACATGTGTCAGTGCTATTACTAGCAAATATTTCAGGGACTCACAAAAGCCATTTCCTTGACACTCATGATTCCAAAGCAAAAACAATTTGATCTCTCTCAGGCTCTCAGCACCATATATAAAAACATAAATTAAAAAAGTAGCACACAGCCGCTTCACCCACACAACAATGATAGCCTTCATGCAAGCCCTCAATTATGAGAAATTCTTCAAGCCAGGTAACTAGAAAAGTAACATGCCCTTATAGTCTAAAGTTGTATAAATATAGCATCACAAAGCCAAGAGTAGCTCCATTGCTAGTAGAGGCTCCAAAGGTTGTTTCCTTGACACTCATGACCCCAAAGCAAAAAGAAGTTGATCTATTCCAGCATAGAAAACAAAACACAAGCACAGTAAATTCACCACACAAGAATGATGAAATATACAAGTTATAAAGCAAACTCAAGGTCCTAGCTCTCATACTTTTAACCCATCCCTTTCTCGATCTCAAAAGCAGATTCCCAATTCAAGTATTCTTTTTTAGTCTTATAGTAATGAAAACCAATTTTCGAAAAGCAACATCATGGAAGTTTATTATCACAATAAACGGACAAATCCAATGTTTAGGTACTACATTAATAACAGCATTGGATAAAAAAATATAAAAAAAAAAACAAAAACCTGATATTTTTGTTTTTTTCAACTGCTCAGCAGTCTTTTCTGCAGCAGCTTTCAGAGCCCTGTCTGCTTGACTTCCAGCAAACTTATCGCGATAAAATTCCACTTCCTCATCTTTCTGCAAAGTACCCAAACTTTTAATAAAAGACAATAAAAATAAGTATGTTCTGCCGTATAAAAGAAAAATGTTCAGCAAAGTCTTTATTTAATCAAATCCTCAGAAGGTAATATAAATTAGCAATTACTCCGTATAAGCCAAAAGCATACCAGTTCCTTGAACAATGGTTCTGGTTTCCCTATACAGTGACCATCAGGTAGAATATCCCAGAGTTTCCTGATTTTCTCAAGATCCCCATTTTCATCTGAAAGAGTTACTTGAAGTTGGGGCATATTAAGCTGCTTCAGTACCTATAGAGCCATTCAAAATTATGAGAAAGATCAACACATTGGCCCATGTGCGACTAATAATGTATACTTTTAATTGCAATCTAGTTCAATCACCTCGACAGAGAAAGATGGCATAAAAGGCTCTAACAAACAGGCCAAGAGATACACCAGTCCTGCTGCAGTTCTCATGACCACGGCACATGCAGGCTGATCTTCTTTATAAAGCTTCCAAAATTGACTTTCCTGCACAGCAGAGGATGCTGTAATTGCTACCCAACTTGTCAAAAGATTACATATAGAGGTTTCCCAAGATGACATATAATCGATAATAAGGTAATGAGGATTTGTTTATCTGAATCTTAAAGAGTCAAATAAATTTGTAAGCTAACCTGTAAATATGCATTTCCTTCACTTGAAACAGCCATTGCAGTTTTAAGTCCCTGCTTTAGCTTAACCTGAGTCAACAAAAAAAGCTAGCTAAATTTACCAACACTACAGAAGAACTTTTACAATATGATTAACCTTTTTATCGGAAACCATAAACTCAATTGCTGCAACCAAAAAATAACCTTCTCCATGGCTTCTACATACTGCTCCACATGCTTTCCTACTTTTTCTGCTAACGCCATAGTTAAAGAATGAGCTTCTGCCTGTGGAGCATCAGGAATGACAGAACCATATCCCTGACCTGTAAACCCAAAAAAATGATAATAAAATAAAAGCTAGGCCTAAAATACAGTTTAAAAAATCTCCAATATGTATGAGCTAAATTTCAAAAGATCTTAATAAAACTAACCAAAATTTATAACTCCGTACCAAGCTAGCCATAAATGGCAAAAGAATAACTAATGACTTCAATTTACCAATCCAGACAAAGATTTAAGAAATGTCACTAAATATGATTCATGATAACACAATTCAAATTGAAGCACAACTATCATCAATTTAGAAACTATCATTATGGCACCCATCATTGCTAGATTTGCCACAACCATGGCACCACCTGTTGCATGCTTCACGCCACCCCCTCATCCACCAATTTCACATAGCAATCCTCCCCAACACCAATAAGTCCACTGCCAAACGGCCCAAACCATAGTTGCCAACAGCCACATTGAAAACATTGATTTAGGAACAAATGAAAACGATAGAGAATAGCTAGAATGAAAAGAGTGAAAGAAGAGAAATGTGGGGTGATGGTCACGAGGCAATAGCAGTGGACTAGCAGGGGAAATTTTGGTCATTGTTACTAATATGTTTACAAAAACATTTATTAGTAGTGTAACAATAATTTGACAAGGTAGAGCTACTTCAAAATTCAACAAGGTACTTGGTTCCGAAACTGACTTTTTTCTCATATGTCACGATATTGTACATGTAGGCAGCTGCATCATACATATCCTCTCTTCATTACTTAATCAATGTAGTGACACATTAAGAAATCCAATCATAAACCATTACTATTTTAGGAAAGGTGACAACTTTCCCATGACATCCTAAAATAGTATGTGTGACTATTAATTTCCGCCGAAAAGGAATTATAAACTATTGTGCAAAATTCTATTAAAAAAAAAAAACAATTGTGCAAAAGTGTATAGGGGTAAAATTGAGATGTGTTCAATATATTCTTCCCAAAATCTTTAACACCTACCATCAAAAAATCTTTGATAGCCAATAATTGGGCAAAAAAAAATGACAGATGTTTGATATAAAAATTACTACCCCATCAATATATTAATTCCATGTTTAGCAATGATAATTTACAAAAAATGTTATCACAATATAGAACATCCCATAAAAATTTAATTAAACCTCTTTATAAGAGGAAAGCATTAAATTACCCTCTATAAATTTAGGATAATATTAAAACTGATAAATCTCAGTTTTGAATATTTTTAATATATTGTGATATAATTTTGTGAAGTATAACAGCTGTTTATGGAAATATTATATTAAGATGGGATAGTAGTTTTTTTTACAATATATAATTGTTTGGCAGTGACTATAACAATCTATATTAGTCCATCTCCAGGATTCTCCAATCTAGTTAGTTTAATCCAGTAAAACTATCACTAAGTGGTTATAGACTACTGTAGAGTGATAGTACATGCTGTTTGATTGTAGGTATAAAAAATTGACAAGATAATAACTCGTATGTCATAATTCCATATACTCCCTATAACTATGCTATAGTACATTTCTTTTTTCTTCCACTTGCAATATACACATTTGCGGTGATTACACTAAAGAGTACCAAAAAGCCCTCATTTAGGGTTGTTACACTAACGAGAACAAACCCATTGTCATTTTTTTAGCCTTAACCACGTGGGGTTTGTGCCACACCGCCTCTATTTAATTCCTATCCTTAATTTCTAACAACTACTTTTATGCTGAAAGCCGAATTGATCATATACACAATTGCTTAAAATTTCTTTGCCGGGAATTAATAGTCACATATACTATTTTAAAACTTTAAGAAAAGTTGTCACATTTCCTAAAACAGTAATGATTTACGATTGGATTTCCTAAAATTCCATTACTTGTAAGTAATGTGTAGATGATACATATAATAATGACACAGCTACTACTGCTATCTTCAGTAAACTAATGTCATATACAAGTATGTAAAAGCAACACTTTTGAACAAATTATTGTTTACACCGCCATATATTAGGTTTTATAACATTCTAATTAAATGACCAAATATTCTAACACTCCTTTACTTCCATTTTCACCTTCAACAGCAAAACCCCTAAAATTTACACACATTACTTGGACTTTATAATTACACCATAGACAACAAAATTAGCTAAAAATCTACCAACAAGTTTGAAGTTTCACATGCATACAAGAGGTCTGACATTACAATGCCTCATATAAATTAAATTACGATTATGAAACAAGGTACTTTTAATAATCCATTGTACCTGACGGCTTAGCAATAAAGCTCAAGACCCGATTAACAAAATTCCCCAGATTGCTCAGCAGCTCACTGTTTAATTTTGCTTGTAGATCTGCCCAAGTAAACAGCGTGTCGGATACCTAATAATTGCAAAGTTTCCAAGATTAGTGACTTCAGTTCAAACCATAAATTTTAAACTCAAGTAACAAGCTCTTATCAGATTGACTACCTCAGGTCGGTTAGTAAGCAAATAGTATCTCCAGACTTCAACAGGAATACTTGTGTCCTTCGCATCATTTCCGAATACTCCAATGCCTTTGCTTTTGGAGAATTTTCCTACATAATATAAATAGAAAATGAACCACCTTGAGCATTTTAGCATAACTTTTATAATTATGTGATGCAGAGAAATGCTCTCCAACATAGGCTTTATAATGATATTGTAGAATCATGAAGAAATAGATCAATAGAGGTCAAGGACTCCAGCATAAAAGCAATATGCACTAAAAGACTATTGCTTATGAACATGGCAAAATGATCTTTTACAGTTTTACCTGCTTCATAGTTCAGATACTCAGTGACACTAATACTCTTCATCAAAGTCCAGTTTTCACCGGTGCCAAGAAGTGTAGATGGAAACATCACCTATAAAGCACTCACACTCTTAATCAATCATCAAAACCAAACCATAAAAATCGAAACAACTTCAAAAAGAGAGGACTAACTAGAGCATTTTTTACGTTGAGCAAGAAACTAGCAAAACAAGTAAAAAAAATTCCCCTCTTGGTTACCTCTTAGCTGTTCTCTTTCTTTAATTCTATTTATTTGTAGTTGCCTTGTTTATTTTTCTTTTTCCTTCAAGGCCAATGTTTCCCCTTACAGTAGTAAATTTAACAATAACTTACAGTGTGGAATGGCACATTATCCTTGCCCATAAACTGATATAGCTCAACATCTTCGGGGTTTTTCCACCACTTCTCCCACTCTGGCGTGTAGCATGCTGTGATTGATATATACCCTATAGGTGCATCGTACCAAACATAGAATACCTACAAGTGATAAACAAACAGAGTCAATTCCAAACAACAAAAAATTAATTCTACTCCACATTGGAATATATTATATCAATTGGCAAAATAAAGTGATAATGAAGAATAGGAAACTACTACCATAAGGATACTCTGACCTTGTCTTTAAATTTCTCATGTGGGACAGGGACACCCCATTTCAAATCTCTAGTAATACATCGCGACCTGAGTCCTTCTTTCAACCATCCATTTGTTACTTGAATAGCATTCTGGCTCCAAGATCCAGCTTCTGACATTTTATTTATGTACTCTTCCAGCTTGTCTTGAAGCAGTGGAAGTTCAAGAAACAAGTGATTAGTGTCACGGATGCGAGGAGTAGATTGGCATGTCTGTTCAGATAGGATTTTGTGGAACACAATCAGTCGTAAGAGATCAAAAATGATGCATGCATGATCAGTATTATGATGCTCTGTAAGTGAAGGTTCATGCAAAAAGTGTGGAGCCATTCATGATAGTATTACCAAGATTAATCCAAAAAAAATTATGTAAGCAAGTAAACTGAGGAAAGATGCATACTTTGCATTTAGGATCTTTCAATTCTGTAGGATTCAAAAGATTTCCACATTTTTCACATTGATCCCCTCTAGCAGAATCATAATTGCAATTAGGCTTTGGGCAAGTTCCCTCGACAAGTCGATCAGCTAAGAACTTTTCGCATGTATCACAATAGGGCTGCAAGTTCAATCACCGAATCAAAAACAAATTAAGTAGACACCTTAATCAATGAGCTAAAAAAAACGACAGGTGGAACTTGGAATAACTCCATTAAAATTCACTTAAAGAAAGCACAAACCTGCTGCATTGTATTCTCAGTGAGCCAATTGTTGTCCATCAGCTTCTTAAAAATAGCTTGGCAAGCTTCAGTCTGTTCGGGACTTGATGTGCGTCCAAATTTATCAAAACTTATGTTGAACCATTCATACACTTCCTTATGAATTGCATGGTATCTATACAAAAAAGACAGGTAATCAACAACAATCGAAACCTTAAAAAGGTACTCATTTTGATCACTTCCAAAACATTATTCTCAAAATTTTCATTCAAATGAGACAAACTACACAAAACCCTTTAATTGTTTAACAATTAAACTCTGAATTTCTCATCAACAAATGATACCAATTAAATTAATAAAAATTGAAATTGAAGCTAATTAGAAAAGAAGGAAAATTACTTGTCACAAATTTCTTTAGGAGTGCATTTCTCCTCCATAGCTTTAGTCTCAGTAGCAGTACCATACTCATCAGTTCCACAAATGTAAATGGTGTTGTAACCTCGAAGCCGGCAATACCTAGCGAAAACATCCGCACTCAAAACACCTACAATTACAATGCAATTCTCATTCATTTCAACATCATCATCATCAATCAATCAAACAAAAACCAAACAAGTTGAGCGATAATTAGAAGAAGAACAAGAACAAGTGAAAGAAATTTACATCCGATGATATTGCCAAGGTGAGGAACGTTGTTAACGTAAGGTAAAGCACTGGTAATCAAGACGTTGCGCTTTCCCGGAATCGGAAGAATATGGCGGTTCTCGGTGACGGCGCCGCCATTTTTGTGGAGATCCGCCATGTTTTCGCCGGAAAAATGGGAGGAGAGAGAAAATTAGGGTTTATCAGAAGAATTTGTTGATGATAACCAGAAATATTGAAGAATTAAGAGGAGAGAGAAAATGGAAGAGTAGGGGAATCTTTACTGTACTTGTTTAGGGTTACCGGAGTGGAAGGTGAGTAGATTATCGAATAAAATTTTTAAAGTGAAAAAATTAGATCTCTTGCTTACGTTTTTATTCTATGCAATTACCTTATTTTATTTTATTTTTTTGAACAAATGTAATTACCTTAATTAATCACATGTTAAGTTGACAATTTTCCATTGTACAAAATAAAAAGAGTTGGACTTTAAAAAAATGTACTGGTAACATAATGTCCCAATTCATTGTAATATAATACTGGTAACATTTAAATATTACAATTGAGATAAGAAAGTATATTGTGATATGATATTATGATACGGAGTAATAACCATTGATGACTGTTTTTCCAAAAATATAAATCACAAAATGTTATACGAAGTAGAACTAGAATATGGGAATTGTGTACAACTTTGGTAATCATTTTGATGTATTGAAAAAAAAAAAATAGATAATAAAGTGGATTTTGGCCTCTTAATTTTTCAATGGTTATTGTAAATGAGAAGGGTTGGTGTTCGAACTAAAGAACATCCAAGGAGTTTGTAACTGTTGTTGAATTGGATAGAATTGCCTTGGTAATGTTGGTTGGTCATGCGCCTATGCTACTGAAGTACAAGTACTTTCGTAGATTGCGGTTGCTTCATCAAAAGATCTATTATTGTGTGACGTTGTTATATTATTATCCGATAAAAACCTTACATAGCTAAATTGATTACTCCGTTCAATTTATCCTTCCGTGGTAGGATTCTTGTGCTCAATATGAAGACTGACCTTGTGTTCCTAGACAAGAATAGCGAGCATTGTAGAAGAGTTGGAGCATTCGTTGATGATAAAATTCATAAGGAGAAAGAATAGCGTTGTAGATATGACACACACACACATAGTTATCGAGCTAGATTGGTTGTAGAAGTCCTAGGAGTGAGCACTGCTTGTCTTGCAGTTGCAGAGTTGCAGTGATGAAGACATCAGTTGGCCAAATATGATCCCTTTCATCTTTAATGGCGAAGCTAGAGCAAAAGAAACTCTTGGGGTGTTCAAGGTATTCAGAAGGCTTGCACTTTGCAACCGGTGTAAGTGCTAAGGATTTCACCAAAATTATGAATGAAACGTCATACACCAGCAAGTCACTAATGAACAATGTAACAAGCCATCCGTTCAAAATACACGAAGCCAGTCTTCCACAACAGTATAACAAGTCACCCTGAGGCAAGACAGATCCATATTTATGTAGGAGTTTTGCAGAAGTTTGCCATCAAGGTATCAACCACTTTTAATCAGATATAAATGGTTAGTGATGATTTTAGCTGATGAATGTTGGGGAAAAAGATGAATATGAAGACTTATTTATCATTTTTAAAGTTTTAGGTCAGGGCGAGGTAGCATCACCCACTTTATAATCCCCTGTATTTTTAAATATGTTATAAATGAAATTTAATTTTATTCATAATATTGTTTTGTATTTTTCCGTAATTTAATTTCAAAATATTCAAATTATTAATTAGGGTCAAAATTTATTTTGGTATAAATCATTTTATAAACCTTCATTCTATAATTTATTTCAATACAACTAAAGCTTAGTCCATTTCAATCATTTGACCCATTAATTTTATGAGGCCCAATCTTTCTATTAACCCTACAACATTCGCCCCTATAAATACCCCATTAATCTCCAAAATTTTCCCACACAAAAAGGTTAGTCTTATTTTCTCCTTTGTTTTATTAATTTGTAGAATTATAATTATTGATTTATGGGTTTTGATTTTATTGTTTGAAATTAATTTAATTAGTATCAAACTGTATTTTGATGATTAAACATTATAATTTCAGATTTTATAAATGTCATAATTTTCAGATTTTGTAAATTTTATAACCTAGGGTTTTTAATTATTGAAAATCATGATTTTAGGGTTTTAATGAACAATTGATTTAGGGCTTTTATAGTAATGATGTTTTGAAATTTTGGTGATTAGAACTAATGATTAGTTTAACTTAATTCCAGATTATTTTGAACACTTAAATTCGTGTTTTAATTTTTAGATTTCCGTTCGTTAATATTAATCTCGTTTTAATCCCGATCAGGTTCTGAACTCATCCGATTTTGATGAAAAAATAGTGTTTTTCATGTGAAAACAACGTTTTAAGAAAGAATCACTATCTTTTGTAGTGAGCACCACCCTCTCGTGGCCAAATTCAGTCTCTAAATATGATTTTCGGGCAGTTTTTGATTTTAACGAAGTTTTTTTTATACATAAAATATTATCCTTGAGTTTGATTAATAAAATTAATTATGTTTAAAGTTAATTAAGCATAAATATATGTTTTTATTGAAGTTTTAAGTGTTGGAAATAGTTTCTAAGTACTACTTTTGATGTGTTTATAAAGAGGGTTTAATCACCCATTAAAAAGGGAGATTATTAGGGGTTTTTAAATAATTTCAGATTTTTATTAATTTTTAAACTTGCTGTAATTTCATGTATAAGAGTATATTTTAAGGTTTTTATGAAGGAAACTTAAAGAACTATATATAAGCTTTTGGTTTCAATTAAAGAGAAGGTTTTAAAGTGTTGTTCAATTGGATTTTGAAGGTTTTAAAGTAAGTTAGTATTGCTATAAATTTGATTGATTGGGTATTGATTGAGATGTTATTGTTTGGTTTAGGAGAGGACTTTATTGAAGGTGATTTCTAGTTAGTAAAGTGGCATACCAATTCGTTTGCTCAAGGTACGCACAAGTTACGAAACCTTGCTTGTAGCTAGGTGCATGTTTAAGGACGGATCGAGAACTTAGTATCATGTATAGGATTGACTGGGTTAAATTGTTTGGTTATACATTGTGAATTTCAAATGATGTGCACTATTTTATATTGCAAGTATTATTTGTGCTCTAATTATGCAAGGTGCGCTTAGAGGCAAAGGTATATGATTGGTGTAATGATTAATTTATTACTCATTCATGATTATGCAAGCAGAATGAGTAAAGGAAAAATTTAAGTCTTATAAGACGAGGTTAAGGTTTTGGGGTGCCTTATGCACTCAAGGTGTTTATACACCGAGGTAGTTAAAGGAATAAATAATAAATGTTGCTTGTCACTAATAAATCAAGAATTGAAATTGGAAAGTTGTTTTACTTGATTGAATTGATGTTGGAATGTTTGTATTGTAATGTATATGAGTCATCACCATGTCTAAACCTGTAAATCACGTAAAGTGCAAGATGGATGAGCAATAAAACTTTGGATTGGTGCACATCTGGAGTAATGACAATCAAGGGTTGGGGTACATGGGGTATTAGCCGTGTACTTTTATCGAGGTCGTCTGATCTACGAGTCTCCTATTTCAAATATTATTTTTCTAAAACTAGGAGTTAGGTGAGATCTCATACTAACTACGGTCACGGAGTCGCGCCCGTGGTCGTTGGATGTTTATTGATGTTTCCGAAAGGAGGCATGAGGTTTTTTCTTTTATTGATGTTCCAAATGGGACATGGGTTGGACAACCTTGTCTATTGCTAAATCCAATGAAATAAATAAATGAGTCAGTTAATATCAATTAGTGAGGTTTTATATAAAATTGAAAATTGAGTCATGAGTTGAGTCTGTATTTAATGATGCTTATGCTTGGTGTTATTAGTAGCATGTTAGGTATTTTCTTAATTTATTTCGCAGGTTGTATGTACTCAGCTTTGCTGATGCGTGCTTTTGTGTGTGTCTTTCTTTGGTCAAGGCCTTCGCCTTTCAATGACCATGTGACGATCCAATTTTTACACTTGTAATATTGGGGAGCAGAATAACCATAGGTTCTTACACATGCAGCATTCATCAGGGTTGTGGGATCTTGAGTAGAGAGTTGGTTGTTTGCATTTTATTTCTTTTACAAGTTTGAATTTATTTTAATTCGATTTTATTCGACACTATTTCTTTTGGGTTTGAATTTATTTGAACACGATTTAATCACTTATTGCTTTTATTGGGTTTTGAATTGAATAAGGGCATTAATGGTTCCATCTTGTAACACTCATTTTGATTTAATCCTTTTGTTTTGAAGTATATTTATAACTGTTTTAATTTTCCGCTGCTAAGCCAGTAATTCTCTCGAAATTGTTCAGGTTATATACAGGTTTCTCACGGGTTTTTAAGAGAGAATTATTGGGGTGTTACAATAATCTCTCTGGTTCTTTTTAGTGACATTATTTTGCACTTTCATAAATCAGCCTTGTCTTAATATTTTAACTTATATAATAACTTAATGTTGTTCATTATGTAATATTATTGTTGGATAGTCACAATGTATATTTTCATAATATCGATTTTATGAGCTTTTTACTTATAAATTCGTTTCTATATATAAACCGAAGTGAGCATGATTTAAGTGTTTTAAGTTTTGATTTAGTTTGGATTTAGTTTGGTATGTATGAAACTTTCTACTTTGCTTTAGTTTGATTATTATGGTTTATCCTGATATAATTTCTGTGTTTTGTTCTGATAGTATTGTTATCTTCATTATTTGTTATGATTTGGTTTGATATGATTATTTCAACATGTTAAACTGTAATCTCTATTATATGCTCTTGTGATCTAGTCTAGTGTAGCCATATTGTTTAATTTGATATGATCTTATCAAAATAAATAATGTGGAGTAAATTATACAGTAAGAATTGAATTCGACAAAGAGAACAAAACCTAGAAAAATGAAGTATAAAAGTTATGTTCATGCTTAATAATCTTTCCCATTAATTAGGTTAGAGAGTTACATACTTACATGTGATATATACATGTGATTACTTAATTCAATATATAACAATAATAAAGGTTTTTTCTTATCGTGGACGTATATATTACGTACATGACAAGTACACGGGGTGATCTTAACGAGACTAGGGGTGAGTAGGGCTGGGGATACTCAATTTGCCTTTGAAATCTAGCTCAATTAGCTTACTGCAAAAATATTAGTTATGAATTCAACTAATTATATCTAGGGCTATTCATTGTTTTTTCAATTGGAATACATACTTAACCTAATCGGAAACTTGAAAAAATAATTTGGAATCCAAAACACTAAATCGTCCAAAACTAATAGTCATGGACCAAGCTGATTTAAATCATCTTAAGTCTAACACCATATAATGCTCATATATGGTTTTAGTCTAATTAACCTTTCGAATGTATCAAAACATGATAGAGCAAAGAGTATCTATTGTACATAATACTTTAATTCTTTATGGAAAGAAGCAATTATGTTGTTTAATTGATGCCCTAAATAAGCATCATACACGCCCTTAATAATTTACAACCAATCATAAATATCTAGGCTTTGTCTGTATTTAATTGGTACTAACAGCGCACTAATTATTAGTACTTGGTATTAATAGTGGCTGATACCAATAATGGTTGATTAAGCAGACGAAAGCAATATAACTATGAGTCATCTATCCCTTCCTCAGGAGCATTCCTAATGCGAAAACCCCAATAAGATTTGGTACATTATCGCTCATAGTTGAGTAAACTAGTGCATAAATGGTAAGAGAGAGTGAGAGACATCTAAGTGAAGACATAAAAGAATTTGCTTTTACCTTAGCCACTGATATTAATACTGATGATAGAATTCACAGGGGAAAGAATACAATGAAAGAAAATTACATGATATACAACACACAGACGCCTCCAAGGTACCTCACATATATTTTCACAACGATTACATAATAAGCAAGCAGTATGGATCAGTTTCATCACCAAGGAAGGCACCCGCACCCCTGAACAAGAGAGAGAGAGAAAGAAATAAGTTAGCTTCAAGCAGCCAATGGCAGCAATAATAAGAATGTTTATAACAACTGCAGCACAGACCTTATTTTTTTTACTTTTATAGTGCTTGCCATCAGATTTTTGAGCGTGAACTGCTGTACCAGTCACACTCCCTACGCTGCCATGCCTCTCCTCTTTCACTTTGTTGAAAATGACTGAGAACCCATCGGCTGATGAAGGGTCGGTCTCATCCCATTCCCCAAATTTAGGAACAGAAGCACCTCGATCAGGCTGCAATATTATGCTAACAAATCTCAAAACACTTGCAAATTTGCAATTATCCTTATAAATGGGGGTTTCATTTTCATATGAGACATGCAGAAACATTTATCAGTTCAGTTCATGCAAGTTTTGGGCAATCTTTGAGTGTCCTGCTGGACAGCTATCAGTTCATCTCTTAAAATGATGCACACCTAAGACTGACAGAAGGTTTCGTAAAGACAAAAAAAAGTTGAGAAGAGCAGAGCTATTGAGAAGATACTAAGGACATAAGGATTCAAACACTATGCTAAAATAAACAGGCAACAAATGAAAATATATCAGTTGTGAAGCAATTCTAACCAGAAACACATCCAACAAAAAGACCAAACAGAACACACAATTCCTGTAAACACCCAAGTTTTAAGCAGAAACACAACAGTAGTAAACATTATATTTGAGTTGATCCTCATCCACTCTAAATGGTCATGTAATTGCCGATCAGTCTATATTTATCTGAGACAGCTAGAAGCCTACAGTTGCTAAACGTGAAGGCATATCCAACTATTACATGGCCATTCTATATATAAATTATGCAAATTTATGGCTCAAAAAGGAGTGCCAAGCGTTCACATCCATGTGGTTATAGTCAAGTATCTAATACTTCAGAAAAAATGAAGATTTCAGGAAACATAGCATCAATCTTCTTTTGGGAAGGGACCGAGGGAATCAGGTAGTGAATAGTTGTTAATTTTATACATAATCATATTTCAGGCATTAATCGAAAACCAGAAGAAAGAAAGTTATTACAGTTTCATTGCCTCGAGCAACAGATCTCAGACGGGATCTTCCAGGAGTGGAAGGAGCCAAACCATGACTTCCATCAGACAGACCTTTCTTTTCCCGTGAAGGAGAAGAAACCGCATTTCCTTTGGTACCAATACTTGCCTGGTAATGTGGATGCATAGGAGACTGGTTGGCACTGCGCATACCTCCTCCATTTGCCCTTGTAGCCCTTTTGGGCGAATCACTGCTTACTCCAGCAGGTCGATGATGGGTTGAATTGACTGAAGCTTTACGCCCTCCATTACAGCGTGATGGGGAATCATATGACCTTTGTGGCTCACTGTCCTCTTGGCTTACCATGTGCTCCTGCTTTGCTCTCACAGTGTCTGATCCTCTTCGTGCCTCAAATTTAGAGACCACATTAGGATTATCAGGAGAGTTATTAGGGTTTCCCTTATCATTTGATGTAACCCTCCTTGCATTTTCAAAATAGGTTGTGTAAGGGACATCTTCTTCAGTCTCCCAATTTCCAAACTTTGGCACATTTGTTCGCTGCCACAGGATAATACTCTTATGAGAAACTCGCAGTGAATATTTAAAGTGCCTTCACTATTAAGATCTAAAATAACAAGTCACACAAAAACTTATACTCAATCTAGTACTCTCACTAAGAAAAACTCCCAAAAGGCGTGTTGTTTCAACTCAACAATCACTTCAATTAACAAATCCTTAAGAAAAGTAGTACTTCATAGAGTTCATACTATATTTTAATGTATACACCAACAAACCAAGATTAGCTCACCTACTGCTCTTCATTTGTCAAGTTTCCCCTATCAATGCTGGAAAAGAATTGGAAATTACAGTACACAATACAGTACGACAGTTATGCATATGTTGAACTTCAATTGATATTCCTGAACTACAACTCCACTAATCCGCGGCTAATCAAGACATATGACTCAATTGAGAAGAGTATATCCAAAGGCAAAAGATATAACTTCGCGCTATAGACATGCTATTGCTAATGATGATGCTAAAAGAACTTACTAATTAGTATCATTTTCCATTGTCGGTACAACAATCACTACAACCTAACACTGTACTACAGAATTGTCAGCCAAGTAATGTATGTTCTTCAACCTTATTAAATTTAGAGATAGAACATGTCTCCCCAAATCATTTAATACTAACAAACTTAGGAAAATCTAACATCTTATAAACAACAGTATATCTGAATAAAATTATACTTTGTGTAATTCTTCTTACATATGTAATTTACAACAGTTGTCAAATCATAGAAGATTCAGCTTAACAGTAACTCATAGTTTATAATAATTTAATCATAAACCATAGTTTAGACAGCACCAGATGAAAATCAAAATCATAAAGAAACAAAAAACCCCAGAATATTCAAAGCAATAAATCATCAAGTATAAATAAAGAAAGAAAAGATTAAAACTTACTGCCATGTTCAATTTGTTGAAAGCAGCAACCTCTTTTTTTTTTTTTTTTTGGGTGGATTTGCTAAAAATAAAAAACGAAAAGTTTGATTTATGTAAAAAGAAAAAGTGGAGATAAATTAGTGTTGAGAGAAGGCAACGAAGATCCAACCCAGCGCCGTGAGGGGACAAAGACATTGACTCCGTATGAGCAGGTGACACCTACTGTTGTTTAGTGGGCTCTACTCTTTAAACCTTCTACCAAGTTTACTGCCACCGGATTTTGGCGGTTAACTGCTTTCTTTACGCTATTAAGCAACTTTTTTTTTTTTTTATTTAATTACGGATTACGGATCACACGTGGGTATATTATTGCGGAATTTATACTATACTCGTTTTAATTGGAGTGGTATGGGTATGATTTTGGAAAGTAGAATATTGGTATGGATATTAAAAGTCATACCCGTCATGGATGGTGGGTTTGTGGTGGATTAGAAATCATATTCGTCTCATATTTATTGACTTGCCTACTTCATATCTATTTGTTAGCCTAATTTCCACCTTATGTCACAATTATTGGGTGTAGTAGCAAATTAGCCCCAACACTTTTATTGCAGGTGTAAAGTAACCCCATAACTTTTACTTATAACAAATTAACCCCACAACTTAATATAATTGTGCAATCAAAACCTATACATCAAATTTGAGCAAAATCACATTAAAATATATAAATTTCATAAAATATACTCCAATAAAAGACAAAAAAAAGTTAAAAAAAATTAATTACATCCAAAATATTGTGCATATACATTATCATACATATTAAATACATACTATAAAATATAGAAATTATTGACACTGAAATATGACAAAGGGCGAAAAAATTAACGGAATTTAGCAAACCATCATACTTGATTAATCTCTTCAATTCCTCACATTTAATTAAAATGGTAAGAAATATAACGCATGTATAATACTCTTAATGCTTATTATTAATACAAAAAATTAGCATGTTTTGATGAATTTATTGTTAAATAATGATGATCAGATGTACGTTGCACGATATGTTAAGTGTTGGGGTCCATTTGCTATAATTAAAAGTTAAGGGGGTAATTTGAACATAGAGTTAAAGTCTTGGTGCTAATTTGCTATATTTCCCCACAATTATTTTATGACTTCTCATAATTAAAGTTTGTTTAAGCGGGTAAAAGATGGGTTGTTAATATATACTTGGGTAGTGAAGGAAGTCTGAATTTGGTTTTGTACCCACTTAGTAAGGTGGATGTGAATATTGCATATGTACCTGCCATGAGTAGTGAGTAATTTGGTTCATATTATCTGCAATACTTTAACCGACTAAATTAGTGTAAGAAACTCCAAAACTTTAACCAAATCTCAACTTTATACGAAGTATGATTCTCATACGGAGTATAATGTATCTGTTATACGTGAAAGCAACTATTGTGTTGGTCACGTAAAAGCGTAAAATGTATTTATCGTCATAGAGAAGGGAAGATGGAAGAAAATAGAGCCAATAAACTAGGAAGTTATCCCTGAATGTGGCTTAACCTCTAAGCCTCTAAGTGTCATCACACAAACCTTGCAAAATTTTCGCCAAATGTAATAAGAATGGAAAAGATGACCGAGGACAGTACAAATATCCAACGATCTACATACACTATCTACGTCCATCACCATGAACATGTACAAGCAAATCCATTTCATTCACCTATATGAAAAACTGATTTTTGTCTCAAAATCAAAAACTCATTGATGTCAATGATATGCATACAATATTCCTTTAGCTTATTGTTCAAATTTTCCTTCTTTGAGTTTGTGTGCTTGATAAGGCATTAAGGCCTCCACTCCTAGTCACTGGAGCCATATAGGTTGAGCAATTTCATCCTCCAAGCCGATTCCAGACATCATTACTTTTCCAGTCTATGATTGGAGGAGTAATATTTCCCAAAGGGACCATATTTGACCAAATGTTGAGAAGCTTCACCGTCAGTTGAGCCTAGTCTCACTTTAGGCGCTTAATTTGCTTAGCCATATCCACAATGCCTTGGCTTCGCTCTGGATTTTCAAATTTCAACAACTTCTGAAATTGGAGTGCTGCTTCAGAAATGTTATCCATAACACACATATTTGAGTTAGCAGCAAATACGACTTCATTCACATCTCCCTCAAGTTGAAGGCAGTAAAGGTGGCTAAAAACCTGTAAAGGAAAAAAGAATTATTATAATATAATACATCAGTATCTCAAAATGACAATAATTTCTGGCTAACTATGCCAAGAGAACAAATTTCAGTTAGCTCTCCAGAGCACCCTCTGCACCACCTTCCACAGAGAACAGTAAAATACAAACTACACTAGTGTACTATGTACCATTAATAGAAATCTCTTCAATGCCCCAATCTACTGTGATTTCCCAGCGAAATTTTCAACATATATTTTCTATTATCAAACAATACCATTATCACAATCACAAGTGGGCTGTTGATGAAGCTCCAACTCAGGGGTATAGTAAGATCAAGGCATGTCACTAGTAAAGCTGCAGTAGTTATAAATTAAAGCAATGACTTGCAAAAAGCTTTGACAGGCTTGATACTTGACAGCAAATAAGTACACCTGAGTTAACATGTTTGAATTAAGCCCAGTACTTTTCGGCTTTTTCGCCCTAAAAAACAAGTTTCAAATCTAATAAAGTTCAGTGTGTTCAGATGGTTTAAGTCAAAGACTAACAAGTCAGGGCCAGAGCTACAAATAAATTCTGACAAATTTTGGTGACAGCTAACAGTTAAATAACTCTTCAGGGATAATAAACTGTGTACCAGGCTTAAAATTCCAGGAGTTTTGGCCTTAGTCAATCTACTCTCTAAGGTCGTGCCTATTGCCGGCACTGAAACTAAGGTCTAGAAGTTTAATTGACAGCTGAAATCTAAAGCAGAAATTCATGCTAGTAGACTCAACATTGTTTTATACACAGCTTCATATGTGCCGGAAATTTACCAAATTCCCAGTTAATTTTCTTACCGCTCTCATCCTTGAAACAACCACTTCCTTTATGGATGGAGATCTAGAGACCAAATTAACGATGAAAAGCCCCTGCTCAGAAAGGACATCCTTTACAGTAGCAAAAAAAGAATCTTCAACGAAATCAGCAGCAGGGCAAGAAAGTCCAGAGCTGTAACAAGGAAACCATAAATATTCTATAATACTAGTATACTATAGTATATAAGAAAATGATTATAAAAAATATAGAATGAAAAAAAATAATTACCTTGAATCTGATGAATCTACATCAATTACAATTATGTCAAATTTCTGGACAGGGTGGCGTCTTAAATTAGACGCTACAGAACTGTCACTAATACTCTCTTGGATATCATCCCCTTCTTGGAGACTAGAAATGGTAAAATTTTTGAGAAACTGAATGCCATCAGCAAGGTGAACCTAAGAACATCATAAAGCAGGAAACACAAGTTATATTACAGAACAGAAGGAAAGCAACAAATGAGGCAAATAAAGACTCAATAAAAGCATCATATGGGAACTCATTTTAGATTGGGAATAAACAAACTTTTTAAACACTGTATCCTTCGAACATTATGTGATACTCTCCACCTCAAAATTCATAAGAATGCAAAAGTAAAAGTTAATCAACAGTTGTACAATTTGCAGCTACATATTACCTTCTTCACAAAAGATTTTTTTTATGTAAGTTAGGAGAGTGGGAAGACACTAGACAAGTATATGGTGATTAAGCCACCCAGAAACCCGTATAAATAAAGCAATGTTGACAAATGAGTTCAAAAACCAGGTCAAACACTTTTAACTTACGCAATCCATATACACATGAACATGTACAGAAAATGCACAATAAACATATAACTATGAAAAAAACACTTCTTCACTTTCTTTTTTTATAAAAAATAATAAATAAATTTAAAAAAAAAACAACAAAAACAACAACAAAAAATTTATCATCTTTAAGTTCAAAAAACTACCTTTAAACGGTCATCTTCACAAAAACCGAAGTATTCTTTCGCAAGACTTAACATCACCGGATCCAATTCAACTGCCTGCAACAAACACCAAATTAGGGTAATCTCTGCAGTATAAAAATACTATAAATGAGAGAGGACACAAATTACCTCAATTTGAAGAAAGTCTATACAGTTGTGGAGAAGCATTGGAAGCAGACCAGCTCCAAGACCAATAACAACAGTCTCAACCTGCAACATAAAAGAAATTAAGAAAATTAAAAAGAGCAACACTTACAAGATTAAAGACCAATTACAACAATCTCAACACCGCACTTCCAGCAAAAACGAACAAGAGGGTCCAAGCAACAGTTCTTACTTTTTTCTTGCTACGTAGCATACTTTCTAAGTAAGGTAAGATCAGCGTGAATCCAGCAACAATTCCAGTATGGTATGAACTAGCCACGAAGGTATGATCAACCACCACATTGTTGTTCAGCTCTGTGAAATCAAGGGAAAAATAATTTAGACTTACAAGATTGAGAGAAAAAATTCAAAGATTTCAACACTTATTTTAATTTAAATGTTCAACCATTAGATTCAATGAAGGCAGAGTGTCCAGTCAAATTGCTCAACAGCAGACATTCACATATCACTTCAGTTGAAATAATTCTTAATAGAGGTAAAATTCTTAAATGGAGGTAATTTTTATCAAGCAAAATAATTACATTCACTAAAATTTGACAGCATCTCTGCTAAAAATTTGACGATCACGGGAGATAAAATCTTTGTTCATATGGCCAACCCCATCATTGGGATTAAGGCTTCGATATTGTTGTTGTATTGCTACTACATTCTTGAAATGAACACAAATTTCTGACAATGAAGTAACTTCAAAGGACATTCAGTCATGTTCTTGGTCAATTTTCTATCAACATAGAGTAAGCTCTTAGTTTCCCATCTTAAATCGCCAAATAAGCAGCACATATAATATAAATGAATAGACCCGAGTCAAATGGAAAGAGATTGATATGCCATTCCTTACCGTCTATTTTAGACTGTTGAGATTTCTTCGTCTTCTCCTTTTCTTTCAAATTAGATTTCGCAGTTGCGGTAGACTTTTTCCTTCCATTTTCATCATTACATACCTCAGATCTTTCATTAAGTAGCAATGCTTCTGATTGAACTAGACTCTCAGTCCTTTGGAAAATAAGTCGGCGGAATACAGGCTCCTTTGATGGACAGATGGAAGCAAGATGTTCATCGACATTTTCATAAATAACGTCCTCGACAACTATTTGCCCAGTTAATTTAGAAGTGACCTACCAAAGCAAAAGACACTGAAGATAATTAGGATGCAGTTGAATGAAGTTCAATGAACTATGTACCAGTACAACCATCTTCCAAAAACCCCCCACCCAGGAAAAAAAAAATCACTATATATGCTTATATAAATATAAAAAATATCTTGAGATAATATAAAGTCCACTCTGCTAAGCATGAGAGGGAAGTGAGGAGGATCACTATACATTGACCACCACAAAAACCAGGCCAG